TTTATATTTTCTTCAAACTAAATATTATCAAAATTTAGTGTCGCCAAAGAAAAATATACAGGCTGTTCCATAATGTGTAACAATGAATGTATTTTCACAAATTAGGTTTAAAGAAAATGCATTTTCATTGTACTCAAATTTAGTCACAAGATACAAAAATAATAATGTACAAAGAGATATATTACTTCTTTGCAAATAACTTTCCTGTATTGCATACAATGTATACCAAAAAGCAAAGAGACACTGAAAACTTCTGATTACTACTTAGTCAAATATTTATGTTCTATATGTATACATTTTCAAAAAGAACTTCTTTTTTTAAATAAAAGCATTTAAAAAATGTTAGACTGTATTTTCTTGGCTCACTTTTACACGTAAAATTATTTACTCTTTGATCGTCTCACTCATTGCGGCACATCCTGCACATAGTTACAAGAACAGACGATTTATGTTACTGATACTGGTACAAATTTATATATCTTCAAAACATATGAAGCGTATTTTTTTAAGTAAGAACCGTTTTAAACTTTCCGCTAATCTATTCCTATAGGAAATATGACACATGGATAACACATTTGTTTGTATCAGTAGTTAACTACTGACAGTTTAATCACATTATACTTATAGAAATTGTTTGTAAAGATTATTGAAATAAGTAATCCTGCACATTACGAATTTGTACTGGCAATCTAGTTCTCTCGGCCCACAAACACTGATAACTCAATTATATCTTAAAGAAAGTCTTTCATCACGCAAGTTTGAAAGACAGACTTATGGTGCCAGTGAAAAAATATATATGCCAATTCTAATTGTATTTAATGAAGTTTCTCATTCCCTTTCATTATACTTTTATTTTAAAACGAATTCTACTTAGAAAACACGCCTCGTATATCATTCGTTGTTGTATTCATACAGTCCGTTTTAAATGAAAAGTCGTTTTAGTTTTAACATATAACATTATCATATTTTATGTAATTTATTTATATTTGAGTATTCTTTGAATTATACTATCTAAATACTTCTTTATGCTTCCTCATTTAAAACAAAAACATAAGGCATTAACGAGGGCATTACAGATACAATTATATTTATACTTTGAAATTATTCCATAATTGTCATGAAATTAAACATTTTTCTACATTAAGGAACTAATGTATTAAGATAACGATAACTGTTATTAACTGGAACTGAACTTACCTCAGCAACATCATATACCCAAATTTTTCCAGTATCATCACCTACAGTTACATGTAGGCCACTCGGAGTCCATGAAACTCTGTTAAGAGCTGGGCATCCATCGATCATGACACTGGCGGTAGGTACTTCTGTATCTTGATTAAGATTCCATAAGTCCAATCTTCCTGAATCATCGACAGCGGCGAATAATGCTGGATGAGTTGGAGACCAGGCGACGTCGTAAACGTAATCACCATTATGCTCGAAAGAGTACAGAGGTTTAGTTTCTTTAAGACTCCATAATTTAATCGTCCAATCGATGGACGATGTTAGGAACAAGTGCGAAAAATCTATTCCAGCTTGTACTGCATGCGCGCTAATTCCAGTGACTGGCCCTTGATGACCTTCGTACGTTTCTAATACTCCAGCTTTTGTACCATGACGACAAGCTATACAAAAGCGAAACATTATATAGAGTAGTTTCCATGAAATAGGTGTTATTTTCTGAGAAATTCAAGTTAAAAGCTTTCCATATAACTGATTAATAAACGACAAATAAAATTTATGTTGTAGGTTTCTTTAAAATACTTCAAAAATTATTTAAATACGTTTATAATGTTAGAAAAATATATTATTTTATTTGAATAAACCTACAGAATCACTTTCTATAAAAAAAACATTTGTAGCAATTTTAGTGAATGTATAATAAAGTTAGGTTGACAATTGTTTGGAAATGACAAAGAAAAATATGTTTCACAATCGTATTCAGCGCATAAGAATCTATGAATGATCTATTGAATGTTGGAGGACATAAAAAGAAGTTAAAATTGATTAGACAGTTTATTTGCTAATAACTGCGCTGTTATTGGTGGATTTATAACAGTTAATAATTGGAAAACGAAGTCAAAACCTTAATTTCGGTATCCTTTAACTTTAACTTTAACTTTAACTTTAACTTTAAAATGTTTCTACTATAGCACTGAACACCCAGTATACCGTCATTCAATGACTACAATAACTATTACACTCTTTTATTACAGATTCTTAGCATAAATAACTGGATCATGTGACTGATATTACATACCTGAGTAAACAGTTCCATCTTCACTGCCCACAACAAAATTATTAACATCGCCATGGGGGAATGCTAAACAGGTAGAGGTGATTGGTTTTGATTGTTTAGTGTTCAATTCTATTCTCTCCTGTGGTTGCGACAACATGTCTAAATTCCACGAGCACATTTTTCCGTCAGTTGAAATGCTGATCAGGTTGTGTGCGTTTTGAGCTCCAACGACATTTAGGCAATACACAGGATGCTATAAATACAATTATTAATACATTTTCAATATTAAAATATATTAAGTCTCCCAGAAAGTTCTGCCCGTTTTTTAATGAAAAGAAAATATTACATTTTCAATACATTTATTAACATTTACTAAAGAACATAATTTCTATCGTTACTAATGACCTCATCCCAGCGTGATAGTAATTTATGGATTTTATTCCTGTAGAATGACTCATCTTTGGAAACTTTTGACGACGCTATCAGACAGAACTTTCCGGTAGACTTAATATTTTCAAAAATAATAGAAAAATACCAGATTTACTTACAGTGTGCGCATTTGCTGATAACGGAGTTCGTTGGATAGGAGTTCTCTTTTGCACCCTATTGTCCCAAAGAACAATTTGTCCAGAATAAGTCCCCCCTAAGATTAGATTCGGATGAAATCTTGCAAATGTGACCGACAAAACTGGCGACTGACAGTGAAAAATAAATTCCGGGGTTGTCTTCTTGAACTTTGTGTTCCAAACTAAACAAACCCCGTCGGGGTCATTGGGTGTATCATCGTTATTATTATAGGAGGCTGCAAGGAGTTCTGGAAATTGAGGTGACCAATCCATAGCAGTTACGCAACGATTGCGGGACCATCGATCGCAAAAGAACGATCGATTCAACCATAAACGCTGATGGCTTTTGTCGTCCCTAAACAAAATTTGTAAACCCTCGTGTAATCAGTAAAAATATTAATTAAAAATCATTCAATAGTTTGTATCATTTTAGAAATCAAACTTCTTTTGAAAGATACAATTAATATTTTGACCGTTCACAGGTCAAATTGATTAACTCTATTTAATGCTGAAACGCTCACATAATTCTTTGTTCACATACTTTCATTAAATTTGTACTTTTTCGTTATGTGGAGTTAATCACTTTGGCAACTGAACGACACAATTAATACTATTATTATCATCAATTTTTGTTTGTTTACACTCACATTCCATCTTCCCCGTCCATGTTACCAGCGTAATCAGTATAAATGTCAACTGATTCACCTAGTGCCCTTTCCACGATACGACTAGAGCGATCAAAAAATCGTTGGAAGTCTTCGGATAATATAATCATCTGTTTCTCCTCTTCACTGAGTTCTCGTACTGTAAATCAATATTTATGCAGCTATTGTCACAACAGTAAATCATTTTCTAAAATCAAATTAATGTAAGTGTACCTGAACCAGATTTGAGTTCAATGATATCGTATAAGTGTAACTAATAATAGCATTTTCTTCGTTTATTTCAGATACATTTTTAAGAAATTGATTTGTTAAATTGCTGCGTATAAAATGATGGTTGTTACTGACGAATATATTTAATACTATAATCGTCGCATAATATAATTATATAATATCAGGAAGCTTTTAAAGTATAAGATCACGAATCAAGCTTATACTTAATATTTATTATATATAAAATTTATTTAATATTAATATTACATTAAATTAATATTAATATTAAGTAACTATTGATATTAAAACATACAGATTATTTTGAAGTTAATGTATTTAGTTGAATGTAAATATTGTAAGGAATAATATATATTTATAATATCTCGCGATCGTAAAATAACACTACTCAGAAAAAAAGATCATGCCGCCATATTGGCGACACCGATTTTGAAATTAAATGTTAAATGTCGCCATTGTGGCGGCACCGATCGAGAAGAATTAATTTTATTAAAGAAAAATTTGATTAAGTTTACTAAAAGAATTTACCTTCCTTAGGCTTTTCTTTTTCCTTCTCTTGTTCCACTTGTGTAACAGCGGGCTGCACTTCTTTAACTTGTGGTAGACCGTGCGGAAGAATCCCAGGTGGAAGCTTGCTTTGGAAACCGTCCATATGCGGCAAACTGTTCTCTTCATCTTCAGCTTGGCCATCATCAAATGTCAAAACTGTGGTGAATAAGCTGGTTCCGCCACAAATACCCTAACTTCGATATATCTACCCCTGGCAATTGCCCTACTTAAAACTTCGATTCCCTACATTCTCTTATAAAAAAGAAAAGCTGTATCAACTCGTAACATCGCTGCGTTTGCTACCTATTGCGAAATAATTCTACACAATGTAACGATACTACGAACCTATGGCATTAACATACATACAGAAAAAAAAAGAAAGAAATGACACAAAGAAATAGTAAAACGCGGTCAGTTCGTGTAAGTAGTATCGTAAGGCACACGTAATGCTTCATCAACAGCAATCGATCTCGAAATTTGATGCAACAAAATCTGCAGAATGACGTGTCATTGTATGGAAAAACAATTATTTGGCTTTGACGTGAAGGTAAATAAATGATTTTGGTAAGTGAAGAAATTTCACAAGCGTCAGATTTAAATATAAAGGATGCAACTCTCTTTCAGAAGCTTTTATAAAGCTGTATGTAAAATAATAAGACGATAATTTGTTGGAAAATAAATAATCACACACAATAATGGAAAAGCAATCGTCGGATTGAATCGCATGCATTAATATTAGTAACAGAAGAAGGTGGACTGCTTGTTGGTGGATTATACATATAAATAAAACCGTATTACTTATTCGAAACAATTTGCGATTATCACAAAATTTTGTTTGGAATGGTATCTCTCCACCCTTAGCTGTAGCTAATGAAATGTAAATGAAACGAAAGAATGAGCCGAAGGAAATAAACGATTAATTAATTATTACTTCGATAGATGTAACTATAAGTCATATTATAATGTGATGTACATCGAACGAATTTCCCTAACGTCAGTTCTCATTATTCAATTAAAAAGAAAAATGTATTAAGATATTCAAACGAACGAAATTTGCATCGAATTAAAAAAAAAATAAATAAATAAAAATATATATGTAAAAAAGGAGTGGAGGTTTATTAACGCAACTTCCCAAGTCTCATGCAGCATCGAGTGAACGTATGACTTACATAAGAAAAAGAAATACCAAAGAAACAGTGCGAAGTTATAAATCAGAATCGATATCTTTCCATCAAGGAACTACTAAACAGTAGTGAATAGATATGAAATGAAACGAAAATGATGGCAGTAATTTATCATATTGCTTCGTTCATGCGTTGCAGTAAGAGTAGACGAATAATATATGATAAAACTATGAATATGAATATATACTATCTAAACATGCAGAAAAAGTGAAGCTAACATTTTTACAGTTACAGAACAAATCATAAAAACTACCCAATTATTTATCAAGCAATATTTAATGTAGTAATTCAAGATACGGATTCCCTCCTTTCAGTGCATATGGAAACAAAAATTTAAAGAGAAAAAAAAAAGAGTCGAACGTGAATTCCTTTCAAAACGCAATTTTGTGAAACGAATCAAATTCACATATTACGTGATATAAATAGGCAGAGTAAATCATCTCTAGAGAGGATTACCTACCTGTGAATTCGTCCTCCCATTCTAAACCAGGATTTAGATTGTACTCGTCTTGAAGGAGGGAAAAGAAAATGTCAATCAATCTTGTGTTTCTCATTAGGTTAGTTGTGTTTCTTTCTAATTTCATGTCTTTCGCAGGAAACTATTGATGTATAACATGTACATTCAACTAAACACCAAGAATTCTTAATACACGTGAAAGTAATATACAATCGTAAGCGAATGCTACAGAAACCCGTTAAAAAATGTACAAAATTTATTGTCACTTAAAACCAATTGAAACGATGGAGAAAGTGTAATCGCTAATATTTATATCATTTACCATACAAGACACATCAATAATTGTCTAGAAAGAATGAAATGATAATATTTAATAAATAATTATAAATGCATCTATGAACATGCATATAGTTTACCCCATTAACGCAATTGTGTTTCTCAACAAGATGCTCTAAAGGGATTTACGAAGAATATTCAAATTTCTATAGGCTTCTCATAGTAATTTCAATATTACACTATCTCAGTCTATCCTATTAATATACACATACGAAACTAATCAATCATAAATATGTTCTTTTCGAAATTCCAATCCCTTTAAGCTTTCTAGTAAATGCCGGTTATAAAACATCGTTATATTTATTATAATTAAGATGATCGATATTGTTACTTTAATACGACAAAAGTAACGCGAATAAGAGCAATTTACTTCAACCCTGACAAATTAGCATTACTCTTTCAAAATAAATTGACCGTTAAACACAATGTTCGAAAAATCTTAAATAAGATTCCATAGTAACGAAAAACAAACCAAATACAAGAATGAATTCTATAAATTGAAACACCTTGAAATAATCAAACTGACATCTCCAACTAGAAGTATGTAGGTAACTTTTCTACTACAACATTCAAACTGTTCATTCGTTTCAAAGCTACGAAACCTAAAATCCATATATAACATTTGAACAATTCTTCGAAACATTTTGTTGGAAAAAATGTATTAACGAATAGTACGCAAAAATTATGCATTAATATCTAAATAAATATCTCTAAATGAAGACAGTTTTTAGTTTTCCTTGTGACTTCTATAGAAACCATGATGTTAAGACACATCTGCTTTTATAAAGTACACAATCATACTGATTGAATTCCTCATAAACAACAGCGAATTGGCTTTGCAACACTAAAAGCTTAAGCCACAGAACCTTCCACCAATTGTTTCTTTTATCTCAACGCAAAATTTAAGAACAACGGTCACCTGTCCCAGCACCATACACCCTTTCCCATGTTAGTATCCCGTAAAATTGAAAAAATTTACCAAAATAACCATGATGTCGAGCCGAGAACTCTGGAAGGTGCGTTAAGTTGTGACAAGATTTGCCAATGGATATTCATTCAATAAATATTTGACATTTCAGACAATCCCTGTTTCAAACCATAAATCATAAATTTCATTTAAAAATAAAACAGTTGAATTTCAAAGATACAAAACATTTCATTTAAAAAACGGTTTCTTATGTTTTGCATGTACAATACAATCTATACATTACGTATTATATATATATATATATATTTTTTTTATATTTTATAATATAATGCATAATTCGTAATAATACCAATTATTACATAGTAACATTAACTTTAAATACACAAATCGATGAACTGTCTTAGAAGTATCATGCAAATAATTTTGAAATTGAAAATGAATAACTTAATACTCCATTTCGTAAATGTCTGTAAATGTCGTAAACATAATGTTTATTTAATACCGATGTATAATAACGTACGTGTACCAAATGAAACACTTCGCACTCCGAATATTTCTTAAAGTAAAAACAGATTTTTTAATATTTTTAAC